ACGGTACGTCGGCGGGCAGCTTCAGAAGCAGCTCTTTCAGCGTCACAAATGGGGCGTGGATGTGCTTGCCGCGGACGTTCGGCTTGAAGCCATGGTCATGGTGATCAAATGTGTGTCGCATCCGATCGACGAGTGCTTTGCTCACATCATCCCTCGGAGCGTGAAGTGAGCCTGCCCGCCTCCTTTGTTGCGGCCTTGGGCGCGCCGCTTCATCCCATGGCAGCCTCGGAGGCAACAACGATGACGGGGGCGCCGCTCCATCTCCTGATTGCGCATCACTGATGGCCATGAACTATAGGTAATCTTAGCCGAGGAACGAGAAAAAGATCATTGGCGCCCAGTGCTGAAGAGTGGCAATATTTACCTGCTCGAAAGTGACTTCGTGCATTCCTATGTCTGTTCCGGATTCCGCCACGAGGAAGTCATGGTAGATGACAGGTACGTAATCTTTGGTGACCTGTACATCTAATACGCGACACCGTCATGATTAGTATGTAAACGTGAGATATTTCGAGCTCGAGCTAGATAACATACCAAACTACACGACGTTGGTTAGCGGATGGGATTAGAACGAGTAGTTGGTTCAAAAAACACGGTCGACAGTTGAGGGGCTCGAATAAACATGGGTACAATACCTCTACTATATCCGCGCCCAAATCCAGGGATGAAAGGAAGGACTATTTATAGACATCGAGTTAGCGAAAGCTGGAGGGAACTGTCGAGTAAGGCAGTTGATGGGGCGTGTGGGAATACCTGAAGAGTGTTTTCCCCCATTTGCAAGTTTGTGTGTTGCTTTCCGTTCTGACCGAGGCCTGCCGTTAAAATTGCACAGTAAGCGGATATAAGACAAGCTCAAACGACAGAGTCGACTTACCGCGATGTGCTCCAATAAGAGTAGACCTTGGACGCTCGAGTCGTTGCGGGGCGGTAGGCGGCGGCCGTAAGGTCCCTCGAGCATGGGCGACCATGAAGGTGAATGTTACGGTGCCAACAAAGTCCCCGAGGCGGCCTAGCAGTGGGATCGTGCGATGGCGAATGAGGCTCTCACGCCCCGGCCCAAGCACCCGCCGTAGGCTGCTAAGGAGCGCGATGGCTGTCCCAATGAGGCCGTCGTCTTCATTCGCCAGCGCACTGAACACCCGGAATACTACCTTTGCATTTGTTGCGTCTTGCGTGGCAAATCCCCATGGCCGGTTGGACCAGTCATCGAGAATGGGCAGTTGGGAAACACACGGCGGTGCCGGTGTCTGTTGTTGTGGGGGCTCCAATGACGAAATCTCTAGAAAGAGACTCGAGTCGGGGGCGACAGCCGGCGCTATTTTGGCTTGATAGGGAGAGATATCCACGGCTGCGACTTTGTCGTAAACATCTAGCGTTCCCGGGTGGATAAAGACGTAGCTCTGTGGGTTGGAAGGTCGGGGGGAGGAAGCGGACGGTGGCAGATTGTCGATATCGAGACGGGGTACGCTGGTGGATAAGATCCGGTTCCCAGGCAGGCCATCGCCCCCTGGCTCAGATTCGAACCCCAGCTTGGGTTGCCGTCGAAGCATTTTCATCATGGCCGGATACCCCTTATATGCGGCGTGGTCGAGGGCCGTCCACCCTCGATCATAATCGCGTACGTCCTGGTCCACGCCGGCGTTCACGAGAAGCTCGAACACTTCTTGGTGTCCCTGAATGGCGGTAATCATAAGGGGCGTCCACCCACGCACTGACTCGGCCGAATTGGGGTCGACAGCGGTGAGTAACAGCGCTCGCACCATCTCCACCCGACCATGCCGCGCCGCAACGTACATGGCCGTCTCCCCGTTGTCGTTTTGGAACTCATGTAACCTCAGACCGGTTGACAGAAGGATCGAGAACACGTCCTCGGATCCGGCTTGAATGGCCGCGAGAAGAAGTCGACCTAACGGCACACTGCCGTTACCGAGGTGTTGCGGTACCACCGCCTCCTCGGGTCTATCCCCTTTTATATCTTCTACAGCAGCCTCTAGCAACGTTCGCACGGTGGCGGCGTGGCCCCTGCCTACTGCTAGGTCGAGAGGTGTTTCGCCTGCGGCATCGGTGGTAAAGATGGCCTGGCGTCGACGCAGAGCAGAACACCCCCACTCAGTCATACACGATAAAATATGGCGGCACACGCCGACCAGGCCGTAAGCCGCTGCGTAATGCAGGGCGAGACGGCCGACCGCATCCGCATGGAGAAGCACCCAGCGTTCGCTCTCAGGAAGGGCGCGCGTTATTTGATCGAGCTCCTTGGAGGAATCGCCGTCTCGTCGCCGGCCTATCTCAACGACAAGATGATGCAGAAAGTCGGCATCCTCCTTCCCATGAGCAAGACGGCCGGCGGATAGGGGCGTGAGCAAGGCGCAACATCCGAGCGCACCGTAAACCGTGGCAAGTTGGAGTAAGGCTCGTGCCAGCAAGGCTCGATCCTCGTCGGGACGTACTTGGTGCAGAAGCTGACCAAGTGCCGCGGAGTCGTCGATGGCTACAGCCCGGCGTGCAGTATCAGGAATGTCCACTCCCCGTTTGTGGAGCCATCGCTGGGAGAGCAACGAGGTGGTGGGTGCGGGTCCACCTACGGCCAAGGCGGTACGGATGGCGACCCGGAACTGGTTCAGGCTAGCGAGGGGCTCCGAGTTCCACAATTTAGCGGCTTCGGCCGCTGATGATCTGCTCTGCGGCGGGGGTGTCCCGGCGACGCGTTGCCGCTTGTGCCTGAGCCTCTGTATAGCTTCCTGATTGACCCTGTTGTACCAGTCCAGTTGCACGATGACCGCTTGAATGTCGCCGAGCGAAGATTGTAAATCCTCTAGCTCGGGAACCACGACTTGACTGAGCTCCGATGCGGGTGGCCTAGCCTTGGTGATCGACACGCCATAGCGATCCTCGAGGTCGGCGATGCGCGAATGGATGACAGCGACCTGGCGTGCAGAGAACGCGTTGAATCCATCTATTTCGTGCGAAAGGGTTTTTGACAGCTCTAGGAGAAGTGGGACAAAGCCCTCTGGTTAGACCCATCAGTGTTGGTAGCCACAGCGCCCTGTTGTTCAGGTGAAGTGAGCAAGGAGAGCAATGGACGGCCAAACAAACCTTTTTCGTCACCTGCCCTCACGAGTAATTTTACTCGCTCATAGCTGACGTACGATTCTACCCACGCCGGCACCCGGTGCTGGTGGAGGTCGCGTCCAAACCTCATGGCAGCGGCTGGCGGTAATTTACTCAACTGGATGCGGGAGGGAAAGGAACTGGCCTAGGTACATACAAGAGTTACAGCCTCGAGGACCAACAGAAACCCCCCCCTTTCAGGTTGCTACCTCACAGAGACCCTCTCTTTTCTTGCAGTGGTCAAATGCAGAGTGAACCCGAATCGAGTTTGGCCATGTCTTATTCACGCATTAAATTATCAGTAAATTATTGGTCCATGAAAGGCCGTTTGCCCCAATGTGGCGCACACGCCCATCTACGTTGATAGTGTATTCGTACTTCGAGTACAATGGAACATAGCGCTCACCCACGACATGAACCCCTTCTCGGGGCTGTCTGGGGCCGCATCATGTCCGCACCTTCCCGAGCGACCGATACCCGCCCCACATCAAAAATAACCCTGCCAAAACACCAAAAACTCCGCCAAGAAAACATTTACTACCTAAACGACTTCGGCCTCACAACCAAAACGAGCCGCGCCTAGCTAGCTCAATCGGTAAAGCGAGCCTGTGTTGATTTGGTAAGCGGTGTAAAAGCGGACGGTTTGCGAACCGGAGCTGCCGCGCGGAAACCGGTGTTCGACGTGTAAGCTGGAGGGTCGTGCGTTGAGGCACCGAGGCAAGTCACATCTGTTGAAGCCGGTAGGTTCTACATAGAGGATCCCGCTCAGGCCTGAAAGCCGGGTTGATTTCGGTTTGTGACATGCGCACCCGCAGCGGGCTCGGCATGGGGGTTTGTGGGCGCCCTGGGTTTCGTTTTGGGATTGTTGGTTTGCTGGGGGTGGGGGTGGAAGGTGAGTGGTATCCGACGGAGTGGTTATTTCTCGCCAGGGGCTTATTATCACCCAGGGGGTTGCTTCCAAGCGGGTTGTTGCTTCCAACGGGGTGGTTGCTTCCAATGGCGTGGTTGCTTCCAATGAGGTGGTTGCTTCCAATGAGGTGGTTGCTTCCAATGAGGTGGTTGCTTCCAATGGGGTGGTTGCTTCGAATGAGGCGGTTGTTTCCAACCGGGCGGCTATTTCTAGCGGGGAGATCAAGTGAGGGTAAGTAACCCTCCCGATATGAACCACCGGATCAACGTACTCCTCTTCAATGTACTCCTCTTCAACGTACTCATAAACATGCTCTGGGAGCTGCTCCGGAATCTCGTCTCGTGGCATCGCTTCGTTGTCTATAGTATGAGTGGATGTCTTGATATCAAGATCGATCGGTTTCACATCATCACAGTATCCCCTAAATAACTCAACGCAATATGCGAGTAAGATGAAGTTTACTGCGCAACTGTGAGGCTGTCTTAGATCTGAGGTAGACGGGATAGTTAGCACTGCTGAGTGGTTGTAGGCTTAATAAACCGATCTTAATCAAGAAGTGGCCGTTGCTGGCTATTCTAATTTCGGAACAAAGTTTCTTTTAGCTCTTTGAGAAGAATAGTTCTCTCCCTCAACTGATTGTTCGTTTTGGGGGAAAGAGTAGGCTTGTTGACACAATGACAACGCTTCTAGCTTATCTTAAGCAGCTGACTGTACGAGACTCGATGATTGACTCGGCGTCATACCGCAAGGCTTTGTTGGCCACCACCTTGCCTGTTCATCTCATGTCAAACGACGACTAACAAATAGTTCCCGGCCACACCACACACGACCAACACCCCTGTCACCGGCTCCGGCTCCGGCCCCGGCCCCACACCATTACCCTAGCATCCCGGCACCCTACAACCGAAAACACCAAAAAAGCTCCGCACAGAAAAACTCTTCCAAACGACCTCGGCCTCAACAACCACAAGCAAGCCGCGCCCGGCTAGCTCAATCGGTAGAGCGTGAGACTCTTAGGATCACGTGATCAGAAACAATCTCAAGGTTGTGGGTTCGACCCCCACGTCGGGCTCAATTCCCGTCCTCGATTGGCGCGCGCATCTTTTTTGGCTTTTTTTTCTTTCTCTTTTGTCTTTGTCTAACTATTGATTGGGGTTCTTGCCGAGGTTGGGCCACTTCAAGGGCTTCTGGGGCCCGGCAGCGGTTCAGTATTCGCTTGTTGTATACTTCTGTTTTTGATGTTGTCTAGTCTTTGGGTATGATCCGAGGGAGCTCAGGGGTAGCAAGCGGCTGACAACACTGGTGAAGACATATTCTTGTACCTCTTTCATGTTTGGCCGCCATTGGTTGTTTATATTGGTCCTCTCCCAACAGTACTACCATACCTCGGTACTTGATTGTTGACCGTCGTTGTTGACGGTCACTGTTCTTGAGCACGGGGGTTGCTGGCGAGGCCGTTTAGGGGTAACAACTTCATTACACATCAAGTTATCATACTCAGTGGAGACAACTTGAAAGCATTACCATTAATTTTAGTTCCAGTAAAAGGTGATCGGTAGAAGGTAGGTAGGAAAGCCAACCCCCCACGCGCCCCGGCTTGACCACACCGTTCCAGGTTCAAGCATCCCAGGTCCATGTCCATGTACCCCTTTAGATCCCCCTCATATCCTATCCATCAGTCATCGCATCCATTGCAACCCCCCTAAATGCCACCCTCCATGTAAAATGCTGCATGCAACCGCCGCACCTTCTCTCTCATACCCATGCCCATGCACTCCCGTGCTGATGTGGGAAAGAGCATTAAAATCAGATGACGTACTGCAACATATTAGCAACCATATCTCTCAAAAGACAGATAGACAAAAACTTACCGGAATGAACAGATACGGCACCTGCTTCTCATACTGGGTCCACGCCGCGCCATACTTCTCCCTGCAGCGCGCAATGTCGCGCCACGCACGGTGGGCGATCATGACGGTGAAGAACACGGGGTAGAACCAGGGGAAGGGGCTCTTGAAGCCGGTGATCAGGCCCCAGGTGGTGGCAAAGTAGACGTCGCACGTGTAGTGGACCTTGCGGGCCATGCCGTACCAGCCATCAGCCAGAATCTTGTCGCCGAGGCCGGTCTCGATGGTCTTGGGGTTGTAGAGGGTCTGCCAGGGCACCTGGGGGAAGGTGTTGCGCTTGACGAGGGTGCCGCGCTCCATGGAGCGGAAGCGGTTCTTCTGGCTGTTGGCGCTGTCCCAGATCCAGTAGACGAACACGTAGCTGACGTACAGCGCGGCGAGCGCCCAGCGGTTCCAGCGGTACGTCTCGGGCGCGTGGTTGGCCAGGTAGATGGTGCAGTGGCAGTACGACAGCGGCACGCCCGACAGGTTCCAGAAGATGAGCATGAAGCCCCACTTCTCGTAGTACATGTCCCAGGTGGTGACGATGAGCTCCTCGCCCTTGGCCGTGGCGTTGCCGTAGAGGAAGTGCGCGAGCATCAGGAAGCCGACCTCGCCCGAGACGTAGCCGTAGCGGTCCCACTGGCGCGCGGCGGCACCGCAGGACAGCAGGAACAGGATGTACCACGGCATGCGCACCTCGAAGAACATCTTGAAGTCGAGGATGCCGAACATGCGCGGGTTCAGCTCGGCGCCCATGAAGAAGTCGTAGACGTGGTTGCCCGACATGCGGTGCTGGGCACCGCGCGCGAGGGCCGACACGTACGCCACGATGGCCACCAGCCAGCCCGACAGGATCGAGACGGACAGAAGGGGGCCGAACTCGTCGATAATGGTGTACAACGGGAACACGCCCGAGAAGTGGAGGGCGCCGACGATGGTGAGCGTGGCGTACCACGACGTGTAAGCGGAGCAGTAATACTTGAGCTGCTTGCCGCCCATGTGCTCCAGCGGCTTGCCGTAGGCCCAGATGCCCGGCATCAAGCAGTAAAAGGCGCCCTCGACGATGAAGAAGATCCAGTATATCATCCATGCCTTGGTGTGCGGGAAGGCACCCGTGTAGACGAGGTTGACGAGGTGGTTGGCGAAGTCACCCCAGCTCTGGCCCGCGGTGCGGACGGGGAAGCCACCGTCATAGTAGGTCGCGCCGATCCACATGTACCACATGAGGATGGGGAAACCAACCATCATGAGCGAGACGAACCAAGGACCGCCGAACTCGTACTCGCCCGAGAAATCCGCGTCCAAGACCCTCTTCGGCGCGACAACCGCGCCATTGGCCTCCTTGCCATTGGCCTTGGAGAACGACGTCTCGGCGCTGTCGCTGTCAACGGGCGTCTCAGGCGGTGTCAGTTCGTCGATGTGCTCGGTGAACTTGGGCGCAGTGCGCCGGCGCAACGGCTTGGTCTCCATGACTTCGGGAGGCGGTGTGGACTCGGCTTCGTCTTCGGTCGTGGGCAACGGGGTCTTGCGGCGAGTGTTGCGACGGGCTGGAGTCTCGACCATGCCATCAAAGAGCTCCTTTTTCCTGCGGAGAGGTTTAGCGTTTGGGAGAGTCTGGCGACCAAGGAAGTCGCGTGTGCCTTGAGGTGAGAAGACAACTTACCTCGGCGTCTGCCTGAGAGAGTATCTAGCAGACATCTTGACTGAGACGCGACGTGGGCGCAACCTTATACTCTAGATTTTTCAGGGGCTGGCCGCGGATGTGAACCCCGAAGGAGAAGTCCGAAACAGACTTGCTTGAATACTAGTATCGCGTAAAGAACGACGGGCGCTTGCCCAGGGAAGCCTTGACTACCGACACGGGAGTGGCCTGGCAGTTTTCTGGGCGGTGAAGCCAAAATGAATGTGCTGGCGAAGAAAGCAAAAAGGCAAGAAGGGGGAAGAAGACCCGTGGTCCCAAAACCGCGGCACCTCTGCTGCTCGGACGATCGCGCGCTGCCGCTGCACATGCAAGGACCAATCGTTGCTGCCAATCCAGATTGTTGACAAAATTTGCCCAGACAATTTACCCCCTGGTAGGGTCACATCTCCCCACATTGGTGGGCGCTCAGCAGCCACACAGTGATGGCTTCCCAAACGGAGCCAAGGCACGCTGTCGTACACTAGTATTAGCTAATATAAATTCCAATAATTGGAGATGGAATGCATTCCCAACCAACGGATGCCGTCCAATTTCCCAGTTTCTACCATTCATACTAGTATCTGATACGAGCAATTTCGTCAACAGTGTATACTAGTATTCCGTATTCGCATGATATCGGGTAGTGATGGTACTTTGTCGAGTGTTTCCCCATCCCGTTTATCTCCTGAATGTGTTTTACTCGTATTACCTAACCTAACCCGGTTTGTTTCAAATCAGAAAGTTAGAGCTTCCATTGAGTGTTTGACAACAAAAAGAGATGGAAGCATCAAACCGCGAACGCCTGCCAATATTCGTATCATGGAACCCATTAAGGAAATGTTCATATCATGCCGCCTTGCCACCATGCCATCGTATCACCTCAATGCAATCGTCCACCCATGAATCGGCATTTACACGCCGTTGGAGTCGTTCAACAGCTGCGAGTACCCATCCTCGGGCGGCAGCACAAGCGCCGAGATGGCCAGCCCAACACCAGCCAGCAGCGCAGCACTCGCGCTAACCGTGCACAAGTACCACGATGAATCGAGCCGGTATCCGGGCACCAGGAACAAGTCATCATGGTCAAACAGATATGCCTAATAGTCGTCGCCATCATTAGCACAGCCCAAGCAAATAACACGGGCAAGAATAGAAACAAGAAAAACAAAGAAGACTCACCACCACCGCCATACCCAAAAACTGCGCCGCCGCCACCGCCGCCAGCAACCCCCCCAACACCTTCCACCCACCCTCCCTCTTGATCCGACCCCCCGCCAGAATCACCAAAAACCCAACCAGCGTCGCCAGCTCCGCAACCACCGCGAAGCTCATCAAGAAGCCCGTGGTGCGCCACATGGAGCAGAAGGAGGGGCCGCTGCCGTCGCCATCGCTGCCGTCGCAGCGCGAGGGCTCGGGGAAGGGCGCGCACGAGCCCGTCGACGACGCGCACCGCCGGTGCAGCCCGATGGTGTCGGTGACGGTGCCGCCCGAGGGGGAGGGTACGCTGAGTGAGACCCAGTTGGGGGAGACGATGGAGGTTATGGTCATGACCGTTGCTGTTGCGGAGGGAAGGGGGGGGGGAGGTGTTAGTGAGGTGTTGGCTTCCATTGTGGGGATGCAGGTGTTTGGACTGGGATGAGGGGTAGGTTTGTGATGAACTGAGGGTGCCCGCCCATGGCATGCCTGTCGTTGGATGCTGGGGCGGCCTCAATCATCGAGAGAGAGCCATCATGCTTTTACTCGGGTCCAACTGAGACCAAAAGCAATGTAAAAAGGCATTCCCATTCGGGATGTGGACTGATCTGGATAGGAGGCAATTCGAACTCACCCGCAACCAAAGCGACCAACGCCGTGCTGTAGACTGCGGTTCGGGTCATGGTGGCAGCAAGATTCGCGGTTTCGATTTAACGCAAAACATAAGACGGAAGGCCGAGCCAGTAAAAGCAGATTCAGCCAGGCGAAAAAGCGGATGAATAAAGTCGCACAGGAAGACAAACAACAGCTGCACAATCCGACAATGAATGAAGTTGAAATGCCAGGTTGCCTGGTGCCTTGAGCTGATGACGTCCGTCGAGGCCGCACGTGGGCCGCGCAAGCCGGGCCGGGAGGGGCACAGCCACCTCCGCGCCGACGATCCGGGTCGTCGAGTTGGGCCAACTAACTCGCTGTGATTGGCGAGTTCATCCCATGTTTCGATGCTCGTGAGCTTCGATCGGAGAGATCATCGAGGAACACTTACTTTGAAGGTGAGTTATTTAACCATTCATTGAAGAGCGGGGAGGGAGGTGGGAAACAAAGTAATAGAAAACCCACGAATCTGTGGTATACATAGTAATATCAATTCACATCTATCCGAAGGGATCCAAGCCCTGCCCGGCCTGCTCTCGCTTTCCCAGCCAGAGACACTTTTATAACCCTGCCCATTCTCTTAAACGAGACCAAACCCCGAAACCAGAAGGAGAGAATAGATAACCACCCTGCTCCAAAACATGCACAAGAATG